CAACAAGATCCTAGCAAACCGGATTCAACAACACATCTCAAAAATCATCCATTATGACCAAGTAGGCTTCATCCCCAGGGTGCAAGGCTGGTTCAACATTTGTAAGACCATTAACATAATTAAATACATCAAGAGACATAAAAACAAAAGCCACATGATTATATCATTAGATGCAGAAAAAGCTTTTGAAAAAATCCAGCATCGCTTCCTGATAAAAACCCTCAAACATCTAGGCATAGATGGAACATACCTCAAAATAGTAAGAGCCATCTATGAGAAACCCACAGCCAGCATACTGCTAAACAAACAGAAATTGGCACGATTTTCCCTGAAAACTGGAACAAGACAAGGATGTCCACTCTCACCCCTCCTGTTCAACATAGTTTTGGAAGTCCTAGCTGGAGCAACCAGAGAAGAAAGGCGATCAGGGATATCCAAATAGGAAAAGAGGAAGTCAAGCTATCTCTCTTTGCAGATGACATGATTCTATACCTTGAAAACCCAAGAGAATCTGTCAAAAACCTCCTTGCACTGATAGCAGACTTTGGCAGAGTCTCAGGGTATAAAATAAATGTGCAAAAGACAGTTGCATTTCTATACATCAATAATAAACAAACAGAAACCCACATTAAAAGCACAATCCCATTCACAATAGCCACAAAAAAAATGAAATACCTTGGCATCTTCCTAACCAGAGATGTGAAAGACCTTTATAATGAAAACTACAAAACACTGCTCAAAGAAATCAAAGATGACACAAACAAGTGGGAAAATATACCATGTTCATGGATTGGAAGAATCAACATTGTTAAGATGTCCATTCTACATAAGGCAATCTCCAGATTTAATGCAATACCCATCAAATCACCAGCAACATTGCTCTCAGACCTAGAAACAACAATACAGGAATTCATATGGAAATATAAATGACCAAGAATAGCCAAAACAATCCTCAGCAAAAAACACAAAGCAGGAGATATCACACTCCCAGACATTAAACTTTATTATAAAGCTACAATAATCAAAACAGCCTGGTATTGGTACAAGAACAGGCATATAGACCAATGGAATAGAACTGAGATTCCAGAAGCAAAATCTCAATTTCTCAACCAATTCATCTTTGACAAATCCTCCACCACCAACCACTGGGGAGAGGGGAACCTATTCAGTAAATGGTGCTGGGAAGACTGGCTGACCACATGCAGAAGACTGAAATAAGACCCCTACCTATCCCCATACACAAAAATTAACTCTAAATAGATCAGAGACCTAAACGTAAAACCTCAAACTATAAGAACCTTAAAAAATGCAGGAGACACCCTTATGGAAGTTGGAACTGGCAACCAATTCCTGATCAAAACACAAAGGGCCCAGGCCATAAGAGATAACATAGACAAGTGGGACCTCATCAAACTGACAAGCTTCTGCAAAGCCAAAGAAACCATCAAGAGAGCAGAGAGCCCACAGACTGGGAAAAAATATTTGCCAACTCCATGTCTGACAAAGGCCTAAAATCTAGTTACAAGAGACTCAAACATACTGAAAAGAAAAAACAAACAGCCCCATTACAAAATGGGCAAAAGATATGAATAGACACTTCTCAAAAGAAGACATACAAGCAGCCAACAGATAACAGATACATGAAAAAATGTTCAGCCTCACTAGTCATCAAGGAGATGCAAATTAAAACTACACTGAGATACCAACTAACTCTAGTCAAAATGGCCATCAACAATAACTCAAAAAATTTAAATTTAAAAGTTAATTTTTGAAAAGAGAGAAGAAATGTATATGGTATTTATATTCTAAATGTCATTTTGCAAATAGATTTGCCATTTTTAGATTAATATTTATGCATATAAATCCAGTTTATTCAAACAGCTATAAAGTAATTCCAGAGATACAAAGAAACAGAAAAAGGGCAAAACATTAAATTTGGTGAATCTGGGTAGATAGTATAAACGACTTGTCTCTATTATTTTTATAAGTTTTTCTAAGTGTAAGTTTGTAAGTACCAACATCAGTACTGATTCACTATATTAGCAATATGCACTTTGGAATGGAGGTAGGTAAGTATCCATTTATGATAACATAAATATTTAGCAATACATATAATTTATAACATAGAAAAATAAACTCATCTAAAATTGTGTATTTTTCCAGAGGTCATCTATTTCTACTCTACTTTAAAATGTACTGTAAAATGTAATGTAGCATGTGGTTTTGCTTTACAATTGCTTACATCCGATCTCCCCCTCCTTCATTTCCACCGAGAAATGCTGACAAGCGGAGAAGCCACCTTGAACTTTGAGATGAAAGCCGCATTTGAGAATGGACTTCCAGAAGGTGTAGATCCGTACAGGTGGTTAACACTTATATGGTGAATCACTTACAGTGTGAACTGAGTGCTAGTCATGCAATAAGAAGACCATGCTACAACATGTGACAACATACAGTTGGGGCAACTATAACCCAAGTAGGTAAAAATAGGTGAAAATGAAAACATGTATCCATTTGTATCTTATTGTAGTCAGTTTAAGTGTTTGATTCTGACACGAATGTGGTGAAAAGGCCTCACGGGTTTCATCAATGAAAAACACCCCTTTCTAATCTGCTCTGGAACTCCTGGGCTCAAGCAGCCCTCTCGCCTCGGCCTCCCGACTTGCTGGGACTGCAAGCATGAGGCATCGCTCCCGGCAAAACTCCCCACTCAGGTTGGAGCGAGCCGTCAGCTTTGTAGGGGCAGCACATCTGCCTCCGTCCTCCTAGGGTCCCAGCTGGGCCAGAGAACTCAACTGGTGTCGGGCAGACAGGAAATAAAATCACTAAAATGTATTTAATGCAAGTTTTACGTGGCATAGGAACCTCCAAAGGAAATAAAGACTCGAATGAGCAATTAGCCGCTTATTTACTAAATTGTACAAGGAACAGTAAGTTATGAAGAATCAACTACATTATGTGGGGAAGCGTAAATGGCAAGCTCTTTTAACAAAATTTGTACAAATTCTCTCAGTCTCAACTTCCCATCCTTGATAATAAGATGTGTTGGGAGGACACCATTCACATGAGAATTTCATGTTCTAAGAAACAGCACAAAGGTCGGAGTGAGATATTAGTACCTTCTCTTTTACAAGTGCCTGTAACTGAAATAATATGCCACAGTGGTATATTTTTAAACTCCTTTGCTTTCTTCTCTTTCCCAATAGACATTAAGCAATTTTTTTTAATGCTAAGGAAGAAGTCATGGAATTGGAGCTGAGTTGTGGCACATACCTCTAGTCTCAGCTACTAAGTAGGCTGAGGCAGAGGCTCACTTGAGCCCTGAAGTTTGAGACTGCAATAAGCTAGGATCATGCCACTGCACTCCAGCCTGTACAAGAGACCACATCTCTTTAAAAAAAAAAAAATTTTTAAGTCACAGAATTTGGAGGGGCAAGAAACTAATTAAATCAAGAAGAAACTAGAGGGGATCTAAGCAATACCAGGATCTATATAGCAGCAATTTTTAATACAGACCTAGTGCATTCTACCTAGTGTAGAATATCAACATAATTACAAATTGACTTTTTTTTTGAGTCAGTCTCACTGTCACCCAGACTGGAATGCAGTGGCATGATCACAGATCACTACAGCCTCAACTTCCTGGGCCCAAGAGATCTTCCGGCCTCAGTCTCCTGAGTAGCTGGGACTACAGGCATGTGCCACTACGCCCAGGCTAACTTATTGATTCTTTGTGAGACAAACTCACGCTATATTGACAAGACTGGTTTCAAACTCCTGGGCTCAAGCAATCCTCTTGCCTCAGCCTCCCAAAGTGCTAGGACTACAGGCATGAGCCACTGCACTCAGGCTTCAAATGGACTTCTTGTATTGTTAAGCTCTAGGGAGAATAATATGTTCAGTCCAACCTATTTAACCCCAATGTCAGAATGTGCCTGAATAACTGTACAACTGTGGTAACAAATCAGATATGCCTTCTCAAGGATCCTGGCTTTTTTTTTTTTTTTTTTTTTTGAGACAGCACCTCACTTCATTGCTCACTCCAGGCTGGAGTACAGTGGTGCGATCTTGGCTCACTGTAGCTTCAACCTCCTAGGCTCAGGTGATCCTCCCACCTCAGCCTCCTGAGTAGCTGAGACTACAAGAGCATGCCACCATGCCTAATTTTTGCTTTTTTTTTGTAAAAACAATATCTCGCTATGTTGCCTAGGCTGGTCTCAAACTCCTGGACTCAAGCAATCCTCCACCTCGGCCTCCCAAAGTGCTGGATTTCAGGTGTGAGCTACCACCCCTGGCCCTAATTGATACTTTTTGAGGGTAAGTAGTTTGTCAAAGAAGGGTTGAAACACTGCTAAGAGAAAATAGAAGAGACAGAGAATAAAGACAGTTAATGAGGTAGCTGCCACAGTGAGTGAATGTAATTTACAGGGAAATTCTAAAAACAGTATAAAACATAGGCTTCAGAGATAGGGCACAATGGGGAGAGGAAAAATCTGGTATTTTTCACATCTTTATCAATGATTGGTTGAGGGCTGTTCCCAGAATGTCTTATTACCCAGACCCTCTGCCCTCCAGCCAAGTGTGCAGATAAAGCCTACAGAAGGGATAAGGCCAGAGGGATTTAGCAGGGGTCACAGCATCTGCTATAATGACTTAGACTCCTACCAGAATCTAGTGATACATTAATTTTCATTTATGGATAAATTTTAGCAATGCTTCATACCTCACTAGTTACTAGTGAGTAGCCCTTAGTTTGCATGGATAGGTCATTTTTCTATGTCACCCAAGAAAGGCATTCTTAATCATTCACAGTCCATGCAATGGTCCCAGCCCAGAGGACCACAAGACAAAGCTTCTATACCTCACTTCTGCCTTAACTAGACTAGAGGAAGTGAAGATACAGAGGGCTTAAGAGAGTGGACCCAACCGCCTATTAACGTATCTATTGAGTGATTCTTGACTATAGCAGAAGATTGGCTACAAAAAGAGGGTCCCCACAGAAAACCATTTAGTTCTGTTTATTGTTTTCCATGAAATAATCAAATTCTACACACTTGGAGTAGATTGTAAGTTCTGGCATCTAAATGGTAGTAGTTCCGGTTGATATCACGTAGGTATCTGTCCTTTGTGAGTTCCCTGGTGCTTAATAAAGCTTGTGTGCCACTTGAAAGATTTTCCGCATATGGCACATCTATAGGGTCTGCTGCCAGTGTGAATTACCTGATGTCGAAAAAGATTCCTCTTGAAACTAAAAGTTTTTCCACACTCTCCACATTCAAAGAATTCCTCCTTAGTATGAATTCTTTGATGCTGAATGAGATCCACATTCCGACCAAAGGACTGTCCACATTCACTGCATTTGTGCGTGTTCGGTTTACTGTGAATCTGCTGATGGCACATGAGGGTTGAATGCCGACCAAAGGCTTTTCCACACTCAGGACATTTGTGGGGTTTTTCTCCACTATGAATTAACTGATGTCGAATAAGGGTTGAATTCTGACTAAATGTTTTTTCACACTCACTACATTTATAAGGTTTTTCTTTGGTATGAATCCTCTTATGTTCAACAAGATAGGCAAGCTGCCGGAAACACTTTCCACAGTCATGACATCGATATGGCTTGTTTTGCAGGTGACATTGTTTATGAACCATAAGAGCCGACCGCTGTTTGAAGGCTTGCCCACAAACATTACACTCAAAGGGATTCTCTAAAAAGTGAATTCTTTGATGTTGATCAAACCATGCCTTGCGCCTAATGACTTTTCCACATTCACTGCATTGATAGGATTTTGCTCTCGTAAGAATTTGCTTGTGTCTCAAAAGCAATGATCTTTGATTGAAGAGTTTCCCATTCTCATCATATCTGCCCTGCTTCCACCCTGTTCCAGCATTCTGATCTTGAATAAGTTTAAGATTTTGAAGGAAGCCTCTGTTGTACTCACTGCCACTAGCAGGGAGAGCATGCCTGCAACTGTCCATAAATTCCTTACATTTATGTAACTTTTCTGAAAGTTTCTTGGACGTTTCCTGCATTACCACTGATATCTTATATGACTCTAAATCTTCAGCAACTTTCTGCCTTGGAGTTAGTTTTTTCATCTTGTATCTGGCTTCAGAACCTAGCCAAATAACAAGGAAAGATATAAATGACCTGTCCACTGAGAAGAAAAAAAAGAAGCCAACTATTAGGTATATAAGACAATACTAGGGTGGCCTGAAGTGAAGTCAGGAAGTGCTCACCTGTTTACATCATCGGACGAAAAAGACCAAAATTCTGAATTTCATAGCATGGTCTACTATCATAACAGAAAGAGATCTTGGCATCCACAAACCCACTAAAAATGCACAAGAGTGTGTGCCAGAGAATGTGAAACTAGAACAAACCCGTCACCATTATTGGAAAAACAGCTTATTCTAGGTACTCAATAGTGTTACATAAATGTTGGAGAGGTAACACCTTATGCTTCAATATATGCATGTTAATAACTGAGTGAAACAACTCCTTAAAAATGTAGAAAGTATAGGATAGAACTCAAAAGAAACCAGATAGAAGTAGGGACAAAAGTCAACTGACTAGAGCAATTCAATCGGGGATGGTTTTGCCCCATGGGATTTTGATGTCTGAAGACATTTTTGGCTGTCATAACTGGGGAGGTTCTCTAGTGGATAAAGGCCAGGGATGCTGCTACACATCCTACAAAACACGGGACAATCCCTGCACCCTAGGAATTAATCAGCCACAATGTCTATAGTGCCAAGGTTGAGAAAACTTGCACCAGAGGAATATGAACAGCAGAAGCAGCATCAGGGCATAGTAAGTCAAAAAAAAGAGTAAGTACATCAAGAAATACTGAGGGAATATGAAAAACAAAATGAAGAAGCGAGAGCACACACCTGTAATCCCAGCTACTTGGGAGGCTGAGGCAAGGGGAACACATGAGTCCAGGAGTTCAAGACCAGCCTGGACAACACAGTGAGACCCTGTCTCAGAAAAAAAAAAAAGCAGCAGCAGCAGCAGCAAGGGAACAAGAGGTAGCATAGAGAAAGGATAAGTAATGAGGGTTGAATAAAGGCATACCTAGGGTGGCCTGAAACCTGTCACTTAGAAAACACCAGAGCAGCAACTTCAGAAGCACTTTGTCCTGCAGGAGACAGGATGAGCTTTGCAGACTTGAAATCAACTCCCATTGTCTACCTCCTAACTGTGTGAGAGTCATCTTAATCTTTTGCTTTCTTCATGTGGGAAGTGGGGATCTTCCTCCCACCTTCACAGGGCAGTAGGGATGAAGAAGTGGAATATTATATATGTCCAACACCTAGCTCAGTATCTGGCACACAGAAGGGGCTTCATTAATATGACTTCCCTTCTCCCTGATTCCACTTGCCTGGGTTTCTTCCTCACCCACCTGGGCAAGCACTACTGGAAGCCTTCCTATTCCCAGCTCTCGGTAGATCCAGGATCCATGGCTCGTCCCAGTTCTCCAGCTGACAGATCACCTCAGGTTTGGGAAACTGAAATCCTACTCATGGAGAAGTAAGTGGGATGTGGCCGTTAGTGAGTTACAGCGAGGTGGGCCTGGGCTCAGTGACAAGCAGAGGTAAGGACAATAATCAAAAGGGTTGGTGAGAACAGAAATTGGCATAACCTTTGTAAATATTTGGCAATCTTTATTGAAGGTCTGGACAATGTTAATACATTTGGGTATGGTCATTTCACCTTAGAAATATAGCCTATGGCACAATTATGACAAAGATGAACGTATCAGATGTTCAGCACTGTGTTACAACAGAGCAAAAGTGGAACAGTGTAAAACTGAAAATAAACTTAATGTCAATAGGGAACAATTAAAGCAAGTGTAGTACATTAAGATGATGAAGGCATAAGTTTTAGGCAGATATTAAAATTTCTTGTATTCAAATATTTATTAGAATTTTAAAATGTAGGCCAAGCTCAGTGACTCAGGCTATAATCCCAGAAGTTTGGGAGGCTGAGGTGAGTGGATTGCCTGAGCCCATGGATTCAAGACCAGCCCAGGCAATTTGGCAAGACCTTGTCTCTACAATAAATCCAAAAAATTAGCCAGGCGTAATTCCAGCTACTTGGAAGGCTGAGGCAGAAGGATCACCAGTGCCCAGCAGGTCAACGCTGGGGTGGCTGTGAGTGTGCTACCGCACTCCAGCCTGGGCAACAGAGTAAGACTCCAACTCAAAAAAAAAAAAAAAAAAATTTTAAATGCTCCTTATATATTTTAAGACAGAATATAAAACTCATGTATAGCAAGATCTAAACTTTGTTTTAAAAAACAATGTGTGTGTATGTATGTTGTAATACAGTTTAAGCATCCCTAATCTGAAATGCTCCAAAATCTGAAACTTTTTGAACACCAACATCACAACACAAGTGGAAAATTCCACACCTGACCTCACATGACAGTCTGCAATCAAAACACAAGTGCCCAACACACATTTGATTCAGCATCTACAAGGGAAAAATAAAGTTACCTTCAAGTTATGTGTTTAAGGCGTCACATGAAACGTAAATGAATTTCTTCTTTAGAATTGGGTCAGATCCCCAAAGATCTCATTACAAATATACAAATATTCAAAAATCAAAAAAATATCCAAAATCCAAAACACTTCTGGTCCCAAACATTTTGGCTAAGGAAGTTCAACCTATAAGTAGGGAGATACACAGACTGACAGGAAAAAGTAAGCCAAAATGATAACACAGGAGTTATTTCTGAGTAATGGGCTTGTAGATGATTTTTATTATCTAAACTATTCACTGATATAGTTTCCAAATTTCTATAATGAGCATTATTATTTTTAGAACTAGTAAAATCTGTAAGGAATGCAGTGATTTGGTAAAAGAAGCACTCACAAATGCTACTATTTGATAGGCAAAATAGTACAAATTTTTTGAAAAATCATTCTGTAATCAATAAAGATTAAAGTGGGCTGGGTGCAGTGGCTCATGCTCACAATCCCAACACTTTAAGGAGGACAAAGCAGGAGGATTGCTTGAGCCCAGGAGTTCTAGTCCAGCCTAAGCAACATAGCAAGACCTTGTCTCTCAAAAAATAAAATAAAATAAATTAGGCATGGTGGCATATGCCTGTAGTCCCAGCTCTTTGGGAGCCTGAGGCAGAAGGAAGGATTGCCTGAGCACAGAAGGTCAAGACCTGGGCAACAGAATAAGACCTTGACTCAAAAAAATAAAAAAGATTTAAAATGTCATCTCCTTAATTCCAAAACTTTAGTTCTGAGAAAATATCTTGGGAAAGAATCAGAAATTCATATAAAGATTTACAGTCAGAAATATTCATTCAAACATTGTAAACACACAAGCAAACCAACAAACAAAAACAAAGCCAAGCTGAATGTCACAAATGCAAAACAATGAAATACTATTATGGACCATACAATGGAACTATATTATGATCATTTACTATATCTGTGGGAAAATGCTGATGAAACAATGTTAAAATAGATTACAGAATTACACATAGAATATGCTCAGCTACTTTTGTAAAAGCATAGGGAAAAAAGACTAGAAGAAAATATTCCAAAATATTAATGGTGTTACACCTGAATATTTTCCCCTTCCCTTCATACTTTTCTATTCCTTCTATATATTCATGTATGCCCTTGTAATGCTTTTAAGGAGAAAACATTATAAAAATCCAGAGGTGTTGGGAGGCTGAAGTGAGTGGATTGCCTGAGCCCAAAGGTTCGAGACCCGCCTGGGCAGCGAGACCTCATCTCTACAATAAATCAAAAACTCAGCCAGGCGTGGTAGCGCATGCCTGTAATTCCAGCTACTCGGAAGGCTGAGGCAGAAGGGTAGCCGGAGCCCAGCAGGTCAAGGCTGCGGTGGCCGGGAGCAGACACTGCACTCCAGTCTGGGCGACAGAGTGAGACTTCAACTCAAAGAAAAAAAGAAAAAAAAAAAAAAATCCAGAGGTGAGTGGACAATCTCACAAGAGGTGGTCAAGACCCTGTGCCAAGAATGTCGGTATCAGAGTCAAACATATCCCCAGAAAGAAAACTATTACTGAGGCAGCTCCCACAGTGGGAAACTCTGTAGAAGACTGGGAAAAGGTAGGCTTCCAGAAAGATGGAAGCAGTGATGGTTCAGAAATGAATTGAGTTTAAAATAATTTCTTGGGTACCTACTAATGTCACAAATAGGAAAGTAACCCATTTCCAGGGAGAAGAAAGAAAAAGACTTTTTAAGAGCATATGAAGTGAGCCTTTGGAACTAAGTCCACCATAATCCTTTCAACTCCTAGAGTCTTACAGGTATGGAAGATGGGGTGGGAGGAGAGAGCAAAGTGTCTCTGATTCCTAACACAAACCACAACTATTCACTGTCCCCAATCCCTTATGTGGAACCCCTTGGGGCCAGACGTGTTTCAGGATTCAAAATTTTTCCAGACTTCAGAAATGTGACTTAGAGTATGTGTTTTATATTATGTACCATCTCCAGTAGGGTTTGGAACTATGCCCTCAATTAAATACACTATTACCTCTGAAGCCAGGTATATAGATATGCACATCAAGTTGGAAAAAAAGGATAATAAATAGTTTCCTGTGGGATGAAATCAGGTTTCGCTGCCTGGTAATTTTAGATCAGGGTTTGTAGCCAAATGAGTTATGAAAAAACTTTGGGTTTTCAGAGTTTTTTCTGATTCTAGAATTGCAGATAAGGGACTGAGGACTTGTACAGACATTCAGAACACAAGCAAAGCTCAGTCTTCAAGCGGACTCATTACCCAGCAAGACCATGTTCATGTAGTTTTCCAGCATCACATCTCTGTAGAGGTCCTTCTGGGCCCAGTCAAGGTGGTTCCACTCCTCTCTGGTGAAGTACATTGCCACATCCTCAAATGACAGCAGCGCCTGAAAAAATTGCTGATAAACGTAACTACAATTCTTATAATAACTTGTGTGTGATGATTATTAACTTGCAGATGAGGAAACTGAGGTTCAGAGAGGTAAAGTGCCCTGTCCAAGGTCACTCAACAAATCAAGAATAGATTCAGGGCGCCACTCGGGCCTGATGGCCCTCAGGCCAGACATGTTCCGTCTTCCACACCACAAGGTCAACAGACTTTTTCCTCCAGGCCTCTGGTCCCCTGTTCTTTTTCCTGTCCCACTTCAACCCATTGCCAAAAGCCAACCAGAAGCCAGAGGTCAAAGGAGGTAAAAAAATACATAGATCAAAGTGCAGAAGAGTACTTAGTACAGTGTACACAGCAGATATCTACAACTGTACTTAATTGTGTTCCACTCCTGGGCTGAGAACAAAAGGGTCTCACCCTCACTCCTGCACCCCTGCAACCCTTGAAGTAGAGAGGCCTGGGGTTGTCCAACATACTCTCTACTCTTACAAAACACTGTGTGGGTTCAGAGGGGATATACGCAGGGAAAGGGCAAACACTTGCTGTCATATAAGTGATCCGGATTAGGAAATATCCACCCCCATCCTGAGAAACTTCTCGTAACTCCCCTCTGCAGACAAGACACCAGAATCTCCCCAGTCATGTGGCCTTTCTTTCCTCCCTATCCAGCCCTGGTCCAAAGCAGCCCTGGTCCCAGCTTCAGGAATGAACAGTGTGCTGGGAAGATGGGGAGGTCAATGTTGTAACTGGTAACAATCAGGTCAATAATACCCCACAGAAGGTAACCAGACGGGTAGCCCATCCTATCCCCTTCCTGTCAGAAGGCACCGCCCGCTGTCTTGGAAAATACAGCCTGTGGGGCACATGCTCTTTAACTCCTCTCATGTCCCACCACACTTTCTAGATGTTCCCTCAATTTTACCTCTCTCTCCTGTTGTCTCTTAGAGGAAGAAGGTTCCCTTCTCCTAGTAATTGCTTCTCCTCTGCCTCTAACTCCATTCTCTCCCATGTCCTCCAGGGTCTTATTCCAGCTACAACAACTTCTCCTTTTCCGTGTCTTTACCTTCTTCCCCAGTCCCTTCCCTTCAGCCAGCAAAAACACTAAAATCTCTCCTATCTTTACAAAGATCTTCCTGCCCCTTCCTTTCCCACCCCATCTCCTTTCCTTCCTGGACAGCCCTCTGGAAAGGACACTCCACACACTCATTTCCCAACCACTCCACACCCACCATCTGGCTGAAGCCTCCATCATTCCTCTGAAACTGTTCTAAGCACCTTTCACTCCAGGATGACCACCTACTTGGGAACACAGGGAAGGGGACATCAGAGAAGACTGCACAAAGGAGAGGATTTCTGAGTTGAGTCTTAAAATATAAGCAAGGGAGTTTGCCTGTGGACAGAGAATACAGCATGGAAGGAAGAAGGGTGCAAGGAAGGAGCCTTGCGCTTTCAGCAAGCAGGCTCCGGCTGTCCTGGAAAAGCAGGTGGAGCTTCAGAGCATGAGGCCCAGGGAGCTACACTGTCACACTGCTGCAGCTCCACTCCAGTCTGCCCACAACTGTCATCTCACAAGTGTTGCAATGGCCTCCTAATTTTTACACTCAGCCTCTTCTAATCACCCTCCTTCACACTACAAATTCAATAACTAGCCTTCCATTATACCCTTTAATAGGAACAGTTCAGAACTGATTCCTGTATCGTAAGAAATTATTTACTTATCTATCTCCCCAATGAGACTGTAATCCCCTTCAGGTAAGGGCTGATCTCCCCGCACAAAGGTCGCATCTGAAGAATATAGCAGCAGCACACAATAATGCTCATTGACAGAAACCATAAGCAACTACAGTCATAACAACTCAACTCACTGAGCACTAAATGTAACTAGCTCCTGTGCAAAGGACTTCATTTAATCTTCTTGACTCTTTGTGATAACCACTCTTATCATCCCATTTCACAGATAAGGAAACTAGCCAGTGCTTATATAACTTGCTCAAGGGAATACATCTAAGCCAAAGCCTGGATCTGAACCTATCTGACTCCAGAGCCTAAGCGCTTTCCATCACACCTTCTAGGAAGGAAAATTCCCCAAATTGATCAAGAGGGCTCAACCTGAGGAAGGAGCTGGTCAGCAGCAGGGACTGTGCTGAGGAAGCAGAGGAGGAGCCACAGCTCACCTTCCCCCTGGCAGTCAAGAATATGGCTTCCATCGCCTGGTCTTTGATAAGTGGTGGGATCCGGACCATCGGGCTGAGCTGAAGAAGAAAAAGAGAAAACCAATAAGGCCAGCTCTAATTTGAAGCTCTTTTGCTAAGCAGACCTGAGACTGGAAATATCAATGGGGCCCACAGACAAACTTAATACAAAGTCACTGTGTATGCTGTGGGAATATGTGATAAAATATTCTTCAAGGAATTCTGAAGCCAGATTGACTTCAAAAGCTTCATCCAAGGGAACCTACAGGCCAGTCTTCCCCCGCTCCCTAGACTACGTTCTCCGGCACTTCATTTGAGAGACCACATACACAAAGGGACAACAGCCAGACCGCATAAAAACAGAATTGTTCTGGCATTAGCACAAATAACAACAACAACAAAAAAAAAAAAAACGAACTGATCTACAACCTACAGCAAACAACTCTAGAAGCCAAAACATACCCTCTACAGCTACAGGCCCCAAATCAAGACTTGGTCCATAACTGCCAGCTTTATCCAAATTTTTGCCCTCCCCACCCCCTTCAATTTAGAACCAACAGAAGAAAGCCATACCTGCTCCTCTACCCAATCCCACATGATACCCTACTTCTAGTTAACCTAAGTAATCTAGCTGGTTTCTCCAAGCCAAAAACCTCCAAACGGCACATTTGAACCTTCCCTTTTTTCACTATAAAACTTTCCTCTGCCTGCCTGTGAGTCTCTGCTCCACACAAGTGTTGGTGGCCTACTCCCTTGCTATAGGACGCTCTAAATAAAAAGGCTTTGCTTGTTTTTTTGTTTGTTTGTTTTGTTTGTTTTGAGTTGGAGTCTCACTCTGTCGCCCAGACTGGAGTGCAGTGGCCGCTCCCGGCCACCGCAGCCTCGACCTGCTGGGCTCCAGCGTTCCTTCCGCCTCAGCCTTCCAAGCAGCCAGAACTACAGGCGCACACTACCACGCCCGGCTAGTTTTTGATTTATTGTAGAGATGAGGTCTCGCCAAGTTGCCCAGGCGGGTCTCGAACCCGCAGGCTCAGGCAATCCACTCACCTCAGCCTCCCAAAGGCACGGGATTACAGGCTGAGCCACCGAGCCCAGCTTGCTTGTTCTTTTTTGGATACTCTTCATTTATTTCTACATCTCACAGACTATTCTAGGACCATTACTGGAGATTTTAGGCTACATATATACAAAAAGATAATTACAAATTCAATATTGTTACTCTCAGCAAGTAACACAGGGCATGAAATAAAGGTAATTTAATTTTTTGTGTGTTTTTCTATATTTTCCAAATTCTACATTGAACCTAACGTTACTCTCATTAAAAAAAAAAAAAACTCACATACCAACAAATAAGTTTTATCTTGTTTTCCCCACTGTCATTTCAACCATCAGTTTAGCTTGGCCTGGGACACTAATCCCCAAACTTGACTTGTGAAGAAGCACAGGAGACTTCACCCCCAACATATGACTCCCTGGTGTAATGAAGATTTTGGATTAAACATCCTTAGAGACCAACAGACACTGGAAGAGACTTTTGCCCTACCTACATAAAGACCCAAAGGACCCACAAAGGAGACAATTGTTTTTCCTTCCTCTCTGTTATCTTATTATCAATAGATAATTTATTATAAGAGAATTTTCATATCTACTCATAGGGTTAGTTCATAGGATTTGTCAGCTGATTTTTCAGGGAGCCTTCAGAGGGTAAAGGGAAAGTTTTCCCTTGCCCCCCACCCTCTCCTACCCCAAACCTAGCCATTAGTTCTCCAGGAGCCAAAGTCATTTTGGTTAATTCCATGAGGCTATGTCTTTGTTTTTCTAAATCTACTTATTATTCCTAACTCTCCTCCCACAGCCAGCTCCACCCACTAACAAGCCCAACTCTGTGTTTTTTGGGTCCATCAACCACCCTCCAGCTCGGGATTTGCTAGAAGGACTCACAGGATTCAACAACAGTAGTAATTACATACTTGCTCTCTCATTAAGGGTGAATCTTTCTTTATGTAAATTCACTTTAATGAAAGCTCCTCACACACAGTTCGCTTTCCCTGAAAACAGTTTAGAACACCACTCCAAAAACTATCCTGATCAATGGCTCCAAGACTGGGGTAGAAGCTTCCTCCATTTCATTCTCTATACTAGATTTATTGAGCATCTATTGTGAAGACGGCATTTGGAAGTCAGAATTCTAAATGAAAATTCAAACGGTGGCCACCTTTGGGCATGACCATAGGCCAACCACCCATGGCCAACCCAAACTTAAAATATGCTGATTTCCACACTGCTTTCCACAGAGGTTGCACTAAAAGCTCTAAAAATTGACCTTCCATATGACCCTGCAATCCCCCTACTGGGAATATGCCCTGAAGAACACAAATCACTCTATAAAAAAGATACCTGCACACGTATGCTTATCGCAGCGTTGTTCACAATAGCAAGAACCTGGAAACAACCATGCTGCCCATCAAAAGAGGACTGGATTAAAAAAATGTGGTACATATACACGATGGAATACTACGCAGCCATAAAAAAGAACAAAATCATGAATTTCACAGCAACCTGGATGGAACTAGTCTATAATACTGAGTGACCTTTCACAGAAAAAAAGATCTGAATATCACGTTCTCACTCATATAATGGACCTTGAACATCCAATGCAATACTATAAGAAAATGCCTGACGGTACTGGGAAACTATGGGGGGGAGGGGGATGGGATTAACAGTAGCAAATATCTGTCTGGGGCTGGGAAAACACCTCTTATCAACGAGGTGCCTGAATGAAACGTAATTGTACACCTAACCCTTAACTGTACCCCACAAAACCATAATAAAAAATACTAATAAAAAAAAAAGATGCCACTGTAAAAAAAAAAAAAAAAAAATGCTGATTTCCCCGAATAGTGAGCTCTGACCAGAAACGAAGCTTCAGCTTTTTTCTTGTCCGCATGATAAAACGGAACCAATCAGCTACAGACGAAAAGCTTCGATAGTCCTACTTGCCCTCGAAGGCATGAAGTTTATAATAGCCAGTTACACTCCACTCCACTTCCTCATTACACTTTATAGGCTGCCATCGTCACAGTTCACCAAACGTTCCCCTGATGCACAGCAAACTCTTAAAACTTCAATTTGACACGACTTTTATTTTTGACAGCATCCAGGATGCTGCTTCACAATCACGTGCACATCTTAAACTTATAATCACATCTCATTTTGCCCCAACCACAAAAGCAAGCGACAGCGTGAACCAGCCATTCATTCTTCGGACTTTGTTCCTCCTCGCTGCGGAACACCTGACACGGCCGAAGCTATTCAAAACCTGGTGCCACGGGCCCCGGGGAGCCCCTGCACATGCCCGATGACCTCCCCTGAAAGCCAGGAGTCTCTCAGCAGCGGCTTCCCCGCGACACCCACTCCTCCCAGCACCCCAGTTTCTTTCTCCCCAAACCTGCAGGCGCCTCCGACCCTCTCGCCGCGCCGCCTCCACCCGCGGCAGCCACGGGGCTGGGCTCGTCTCTCGGGATTCTCGGGCCTGACCAGGGGTCTGTCTGGCCGGTCCCTCTGCCCACTTCCACCACAGGGAAGAGACCCCCGCCTCGGCCGCCGGGGCGTCCTCCGAACCTCTCGCCGGCCCCACTAGCGCGCGCCGCGCAGAGCGTCCCCACGCGCGACTCTTCTAGGACCGCGGAGGCTTCGCAACTCTCTGGTCGGGGGAAGACAGCGAAACCCTGGCGTCGGACGCCACGCCTCCCTTGACTCGGACCAATCAACGGCCAGACAGAGCGCGAGGGCAGTCACGTGACGCCAGTCCCCCCCCCCC